TTTAAAACTAAGCATAGAAAAATAGAACGAAATTTAGCAGCTGGAAGGAAATGCTGAATGAATGTGAATAATTATATTTAGCTTTGGAACGGGAAAAGGAAGTCCCTTATAGACACAGATCTATTACTTGAAATCTTTCTTAATCTCAAGTTTTATATGAACTTTTAGGCAAGTAGCACACTAACACCCCAACCAAATGCAGTGTTGTAATACGGAGATTTGAATACACAGAGGTTCAATGTTTGTAGAAGCAGTCCACGAGAAAAATGTACCATTCTGGTAAGTTTTACATAATATGAGTCCGATATACAGCTGTAGGAAGGAAAAGTAGGGCTACAGAAGTTGCAAGTAGGTTCTGCAAGCATGCAGCTGCTTTGTTGGCCTGGTCAGACTTTTCATGTTCAGCTTGACAACCCTTCCAGCTCCTGCTTTATAGTGCTACCATTTCTCATATAATTGAAGGGGTGCTTGCATGTGGATACCTCTGTGTGTATCTATATAGAGTATTCTTTCTGTCCAGGGTTTCTGTCTTGATGTTGGGAAGATCATACATTTATCCCATATTTCTAAGTCTATTGGGGAGTTCTGAAATCTTTTGACCACACAAGTGATTTTCTCCACAGAAAAATAAAGCCTTTCTGGATTACACATATATGCTTCCGATCAGGTATGTAGAAAAGTAACAATAAAACAAACAAACAAAAAGCCCAAAACCCCCACCTTGAACTATTTTTATCCTGTCTTGCTGAAAGGGGGAGTATATTCAGGAAGACAGTGAGAAGAAAATTCTAGCATGTTGAAGATTTCCTTTGTTTAAAATGTTATGAAATAAAAAGGAGACAGTCCTTGCAGCAATTTAAGCTGGTAGCCAGTGTTAATTCTTTATATTTTAAATGCTTGCTTAATAGCGTTACCAGACTGAAATTACCTTTTGGACAAAAATAATACAAGTAGAACAAATAGCTTATATGCAGAGCAATTGAGTTAATGTTGCCATAGGAACCTTTATTTTTCTCAGACAGTATTTTAACAGTGTAGCCTTAATTGCATTTAATAGCATGTGCAGTTCTTGCCTTGTGAGTATGCGTAACTGAAATTCTGCAAGACTGATCTGGGGCTGGAGTGCCTTGACACATTCTTCTGTTTCAAGATGGCACAGTGTTGAGGGCAGAATGATCAGTTTGGCAAAATGTTTGCACTATTCAAAATATGAGAAGGTTTTTTTGAAGGTAATTGTGTGACCTTTGCATGTCCAAAGGCTTTGACTGGCTTTTATATAATCCTTTGTGATCTACTAACCTGAAGCTCATGAACATTTAATATTTTGCTTTCATGTCAGTATTGGGCATAACAAATATCTAATCACTAAAATTAAACCAAAAATAATGCCATCTCTGTCAAAATGAAAGTTAAGTTTTGTTTTTCAGGCTTGTTATGGCAGTGTGCCTCTTGAAATCAAGAGGGCTAAAGTTAGCTTGATGCAAAAGCAATGGCTCTGTCAGCCTCTGCCCTCTCTGTGGGGAAATAAGAGTATTTTTGTGCTTTTCATGTATAGGGCTGAGAAGCTAATAGGGCATGAAGATTTTCTGGCCTGTGGTGGGTGCAGAGGGGCAGAAGCTGAAGAAAACCCCCTTCGTTCTGGCAGCCAAAGCTCAGGTGCAGGCTGTTCAATTCTTGTTGACACTTCATGGTATCTTATAAATGGGGGGGAAGCACCAGTAAATGTGGTGATGTCTTGATTCATAGAATCACAGAATGGTTTGGGCTGGAAGGGACCTTTAAAGGTCAACTAGTCCAACCCCCTGCAGTGAGCAGGGACATCTTCATCTAGATCAGATTGCTCAGATTAAGGGTGTGCTTCTTTGCTTTGAGTTAGCCTCCCGAGAATGGCAGTGCTTCCAGCCTAGAGCAGGTTGACTTCCTTTACTTGGATATTACACCATTCAGTTGTCCACCAGCAATAACTGAAGTACAAACCATTGGATCTCCTCATCTGGAGACTGGCTGCAGGAGAGCTGCAGGCCTTGACCCCAGGTGGCTGCTGCTGGGAGAAGAACAGACAGGGATGTTAAGAGTGAAGTTGAATGAAACCAGTTTGCTGCCCAGCCAAGAATGTCTCGTAGGGGCAAGGGTGAACTGTATTTGCAGAAGAGCTCTAGCACTTCAGTCTCTGTGAATCTTTAAAGTTCACAGTGATGTGAAACCATACGCCTTTGCTACTACTGTCTAGGAATTTAAAAATAAGTATTTTGTATAATGAAAGAAGTTCCAAGAATCTTAAGTCTTTGGCAGTTAAAAAAATGAAATAAATGGGTGGAGGCCCTTGAACTACAAAATCACAGAATAGCACAATGGTTGAAATTGGAAGGGACGTCTGCAAGTCATCTGGTCCAACCATCCTGCTCAAGCAGGGTCCTCTAAAGCAGGCTGTGTCCGTGCTCAGTCACCCTAGTATTTCTAGGAAAAAAAGAAATTAAAAAAAAAGTCTTATGTTCAGAGTGAACTTCCTACGTTTCCGTTTGTACCCGTTGCCTCTGGTCCTGTCACTGGGCACCACTGGAAAGAGCCTGGCTCTGTCCTCTTTGTGCCCTCCCTTCAGGTATTTATACACATTGATGAGATCCCCCTGAGCCTTCTCCAGGCTGAACAGTCCCAGCTGTCGCAGCCTCTGCTCACAGGAGGGATGCTCCGGTCCCTTCATCTTTGTGGTTCTTCACTGGACTCCTTCTGGTACATCCATCTCTCTCGTACTGGGAAAACCAGAAGTGGACACAGTGCCCTAGGTGTGGCCTCGCCAGTGCTGAGTAGAGGGCAGTTTTGTGCATATTGTCAAATAGGTTACTGTAGGATGAAGACAGTGATATTTTTTTAAAAACGTTTTTAAGTCTACAAATAATTTTAAAAAAAATTGTTATGTGCATTATGTTACAATGAAATAATGCACTTGCAGACAAAGCTGTATTTGAGTTTGGCCCTGGTCTGGAGTGTTGGTGCGGAGTGAATAACTTAGGCAATTGCCACTGACAAATGCATGGTGGATGCCTGAACAGATCTGCTTCAACTATCAATATATAAAAGGGATGTGTCAATTCCCAACCTCAAAGTTACTGCAGTGATAACTTTTTATACCAGTAAAGCTGAAATACTAATGTGGTCATGAAACCGAAGTGTTTTCCTCTGCATAGCTTGACTATTCCTTACCTATTTCTGTTACAGTAAAGCAAAGTGGTATCAATCAGGGAGTAACAACTAGAAAAGACACAAGTGAGGGTGAGCTTAATAGAAATCTGCTAAGTCATGAGTGATTGAAAAGGAGAGATTAATTGAGTGTTCAGATTTCCAGAGCTAGAAGCATTGAATTAAGTTAATAAAAGTGAGTTGCAAAGCACAAGGTGAGGGTTTCTTATATTGTGAATAGTAGAGGTGTGTGGAACTCCTTGCAAGTGGATGTTGGAGTTGCTAAAAATGTACATGGGCTCAAGAATAGACAGGATAAGTCCTTCAGGAATTTCTGAAAGTAGAAACTGTATCTGTCTCGGGCTGTCTCTGAAGCTGGAAAAAATTGGAAGTTGGGAGGGCAGTTGAGGGAAGTATTGGCTGAGTTCTCCCTTACCTGCTCATGGCTGTTCTGGTAGATGGAATCTTCAGCTAGGCAGTCACTTCCTTGCTCAGACCCGATATGGCCTCCTACCTTGTGTTATTAACATGTCACAACTTAATCTGTCCCAATGCTTCTGCTGGTGTCTGCAAAGAAGTACAGTTTCCTAAATAAAAGAGGGAGAAAGGGGTGAAGAATATGTGATGGTTATGAACAAAATGTTTGTCAATCTCTTTGGTACTTGTACCTGCACAGATTTAGTCATGCTTTTTTGAATGCTGTGTATGATGATGATGATAATGATTTAAGGCCATCTTTTCCTCAGATTATTTTCTAATAACTTAAACACTATTTTATTAGGTGCTGGGAAAGTAAAGTCTTTTCTTTCATTTCCAAAACACTGAACATGAACATTAAGCTATTCTGTGTGACAACCTCCAGCGTTTTTAGGAGTAGAGTGGTGAAAGTTTGTCGTAATTTCTTGTTTTCAGCTATGAAGCTTAGATGCTTGAAAAAAAATAAAAGGGCCAGTGGTTCATGCAGAGGGCAAAAAGTAGAAGCAGATTAACTTTATTGCAAGGGGAAATGTATTCCTGTCCTGATTTTTCTGATTCTTTCAGTTTTTGTTTGCCACTTTTGCAGTAACAGGATGCATAAAGGAGTCTATTATATCAGCCCAGAACAGTGTAGCAGAGCAGTAATGTAGTTTAATTTTCCATGGGGAAGGCAGGCTTTTATCAAACTGTATGGAGGAGAGTAGTAATGGACTAGATTTTCATTATTAATATCCTGTATGTACCCAGTGAATTGCGGTGGCATCACGCTGTTTTTCGGTGAGCAGTCAGCAGAGAGTTGTATCATCTGTTTGAGCAAGGATTTTTGGTTCCAGTATGGAGGAGTACTTCTCGTCTGTAAAGCCAGAGACAGCAAAATGCATTTTCTTCATCTCCGCATCGCTTTTTGGAGCCATCGCTTGTCTCCATGGCAACATGTTCGACCGAAAGCGATGTGGAGGCTGGGGAGGAGAGGAGGGAGTGAGAGCCAGGCAGGCGGTGGTGTGTGTCCCTCGCGTCAGCGCATCAGCCTTTTGATAGGATGGTTTTGTTAACACCCATCCAAGGCTCCTGTGCAGAGCTGCTTTATTAGAGGAGCTGCCACGGCATCTGCTTCTCCCTTCTGCATCCTTTTTCTATTTTTTTAATTTTATTTTTATTTTTTTCCAAATACACTCTCCACACCCCCTTTTTATTTTAGTTGCAGCCTCATTGAAGATGTGCAGCTCATTTTCAGCTTCCTGTGAGCTTCCTTGCACTGTGGCATTTTGCAAAGGCAGGAAGGCATGGCTGCATTTCACTTGACCTTAGCAGCGAAGTGAAGTCTATGTTGCTGAAGGATACTGACTATGCAGAAATTTATTGAAGCAGATTATTATGAACTGGACTGGTATTATGAAGAATGCACAGATGGTAAATATTTCTTTCTAGTCTCTCATTGCAGAATTTGGAGCTTGTAAGACTGAATCATCGTTATTCAATGGTTTTAAAAATGAAATACCTTGAAAAAGGCAGCACCCTGGTGTAGCAGAGATGCCTGCATGTATGTTGCACCTCAACATCTCTTGTAAGCATGCTACAAGAGACTGCTGTATAGCTTGCTCTTTTTCAAAGGGAGTGGCAGAGAAGCATATGCACTACATGAGCAATTTTTAGGCAGGGGAAGAAATATTTGAAATGCTGACTGTATTTATAATAATTGAGCTGAATTAAAAAACACTTGCTGTAGGATTCTGTATTGGTTTAAGTGGGGTTTTCTGCATTACCAGTATGCTGTAATATGTATATATTTAATGTGTTAATAGGCAGTACATGTTTTCTCTGCTGTTATTCGTATGTGAAATACATTTAGAACTGTAGCTTCTTAAAAGTGAGCATGTTGACTTTTTGAATTGGAAAAATTAGAAACTCTGGTGAGCACTATCATTGGGGACTCTTGTGGTTTTTCTAATGTCTGCTTGGGCAATTATTTCTTTATCAGAGCACTGAATGTTTTCATCAGACTTCTGATAGAAGGCACACGAGGAATGGCTAGAACTGTACTCTGCAGAGTGGAAAAATCAAGATTCTTCATCAATGGCACTCAGTGGTAACCAAAATGCCGCCTTTGGGAAAGTAGTAGTTGTATATGGATTTTATTCTGGTTGGAGAGCTTGGCTTACACAAGGCAGATCCAAGATCACAGTGAAGCAAAGAACAGAAAGAAGTAAGGAGTGTAGGCCCAGGGGATGTTGTATGTATGTAGTACACAAAGATATTTCATAGTGCTTTGATAACAATATCAGAGAGGACATAGAGAGTAAAGGTATGTGTGATAAAATTTAAATGGGTTTTTATGATCTTTTGAGTGGCATGGGCCTCCATTTCTTTCTCTGTACTAGAGCTCAGAACTGAATGCACTTTCAGAAGCTTGTTAAACTAACTTCTATTATGTTTAGCTGATTATTCTTGTCCAGGTGTTCAGAGAGGAGAGATGCATATTTATCTGAAAGATCTGACCACTTTAAGTTGGATTGAATCCATTATGTAACCTTTATCCTCTAGGTTTAACCCTAGTAAATACGGTAGCATCTGATTAATCTGCGTGATGTAACAGACTGAGTTGGCCTGGTTTTAGAAGCTTAAGAAATATTACAGTTGTACTGTCATTAAAAGCTGTAACTGATTTTTAGCCCTGCTAGGTTTAATACAGATAGCCTTCTTTTTATTGTTCATTTTTATGGTTCTTTGTCTGGTCAGTGTCATTATGCAGAAGTGTGGCACACCTGAATGTCTGAGCTAAGAGCTGATCTGCTTTTCAATTTTGTCTTAAGGTATGTGCTGCACTGGTGAAACTATGGGAGTTCCACAGTAATGGAATAAGCAACAGGTGTTGGGCAAGTGTTTAAATACCTTATAGGATCAGGGCCTCAGGAGCACTGTAGTGCTTGATCTGATTCTGGGCTTACAAGTTGTCTTGTGAGTGCTGAGCTGCCGCCCAGCATACTTCTTCCATGAGCTGAGATCTACAGAGGGTCAGACAGAATATGTGCTGGCTGGCTGCTTGAAGTATTTGGGAAGTTCTCCCGTAAAAAAAAAGCAATGTTTCATGTCTGATAGGGAAAAATCTCTTCAGTAGCAGGTAAGACATCATGCTTTTTAAAAATGATATTTTATTTTTTATTAAAATATTACTTCTTACACTATGGAAGGCTAGTGCTGTGGGTCCTGTCTCAGCCTCTAAGGTGAATGGTAGTCTTACAGGGTTTCATGAAACTTTATGGGGTTTAGCTTTCTTTTGCTTCTCCCAGTTGAAATGCATGAGAAAGAGAGGAGGATTTGAGAGGTGCGGTGGAAGGCATAGTGTTTGGCCTTCGATAAGGCCAAATTAATAAGGCATATTAATTTGGGTTTAAAATAGTATTGGTATTTCCTGTTGATGGAGAAAGGTATTGTAATTGTAGTGGGAGACAAAAGGCATCTTTATAGCAGAAAATGGAGCTTTTCCAGAAACCTGGAGCAGATGGCATGTTGAGAGATGCCTGTCTCTTGATTGATGTTTGATTTTTCTGCCGTATATCCATTGATACCAGAGTCATTTGCCTGAGATTCTTTTTATGTTCAGTAGAGAGCGATAGGCAGTTGCAGCTCAGCTGACCTGTTTTGAGTATCTATTTTCAGACAAGATGAAGCACAGTTAGAGAGCTTATTTCTCTGCTATATACATGGGCACTCTGAAGCGCAGAGGTATATGTGCATTCAATTGTGAATTTCACCCAGTTCACCCTTTTTGGTAAATATAACATTGGAGAAGAGTTGGTGATACATTGAAACTAATAGAAAACCTCACAAGATGTTATCCTATAGAATTATTTTTCTGATTAAATTGTTCATATGTTCTTTGTCAGAGCTGCTGGGACTCCGATTTCCATTTAAAAGGTGTGACTTCATTTGTTTTCCCTTTTTTTAATAATTGTTTTAGCAGCATGTGGTTTCTTGTACTTCAAAGAAAAAACCTCTAAAATTACACCAGGATATAAGGCTTTAATGCTATTATTTAACCTAATAGGTAAAGAAGTGACTCACTGCTACCTCAGATGTAGTGCACTTCTGTATGGACCGACATAGTAATGATGTCTGCAACTTGCGTTTGGTGACAGTAATTTTTTTTAATACCTTGCAAGAGCAAATGAAAAAATGCTCAAAATTTACAATTTATAAATCGTTACAAAGACTTTCTAGGGTTGAAATAATGAATTAATCCCTTTACATAAGATCCTCTACAGAGTTTATTTTTGGTAGGAGTAGATGGAATTAGACAATAAAATGTCACACTCTATTTGAATCACTGGTGTTAACTAACATTACAATAAGTTGAAACATATAAATAACAACTATTACACTGTGCTTTTTAGATACATTTGCAAGTATAATATTTTATAATATGAGTGACAGTGTTGCCTTACTTGGCATTAATGAAATACATTGTGTAGGTAGAATGGGGAAGGGGAAAGAGCTGGGTGTGTACTTGAGTAGGAAAGTAGCTATTCATAGCAGACTGAGACTGACAGAACCAATGATAAAAGAAGAAAAGGTGAAACTTTTGTAGACTCTTATGAAAGATAACAGGATAAAAGTCTAGGTGGTGCTAGGTGTGTTTTTAGAGAAAAAACACATAGATTCTTAAAAAAAACAGCACACAATGTAACTTGGGGGGAAAAAAGTAATGCAAAAAACTTCATGAACCCCTAACAACTAAATAAACAGGTAAGTACAGCAGCAGCCTACCAAGCTAGTGAAGGATTTGGAGCGTTATCTTGTATGAGGAACAGCTGAGGGATCTGGGGCTGTTTAGTCTGGAGAAGAGGAGTCTGAGGGGAGACCTTATCGCACTCTACAGCTACCTGAAAGGAGGTTGTAGCGAAGTGGGGGTCGGTCTCTTCTCCCTAGTAACAAGCAATAGAACAAGGGGAAATGGCTTTAAGGTGCACCAGGGGAGGTTCAGACTGGATATTAGGAAGAATTTCTTTACTGAAATGGTTGTCAGGCACTGGAACAGCCTGCCCAGGGAGGTGGTGGAGTCACCATCCCTGGAGGTGTTTGAGACGGGCAGATGTTGTACTTAGGGACATGGTTTAGTGGTGTTGATAGAGCTGGGACAAAGGTTGGACTCTATGATCTTGAAGGTCTCTTCCAACCGAAACTGTTCGATGATTCTATAGATACCCCTAGAAATCTTTATGAATAGCTTTGTCCCCCTTCCTCTTTTTTTAGGCCAGTAGTTTTCATTCTCTCAATGAACAATGCTATCTAGTGAAATCCAGGTTGACTTTGGATCAGATTACCTTTCTGTGGTTTCTTCCGTTACTTCTTTGTTTCTAGCAGAACAGATCCGTGCTAATACCTGAGAGTTCATTGCCTTACAATTCCAGATAACTTGTGTATGTGCAATTGGCTCTTCCCTTCTTCTTTCATTGACAGTGAGTTTTGGCAATTTCTGGTGGGAAAAATAGCGTCTTTTTATTTTTTCCCCCCACCAGTCACACTGTGTGCCTGATTGTTACACATGCCGAAGCTTCTAACACCTTTTTTTATATTTACTTGAACAACTCACTGTCTTGGTTGTTTCGGCACCCCTTATCCTGCTTTTGCTCTTCTCTGTAACTTTCAACTCTTGCCTGCATTTCCTTCCTGCTCATATGGAAATGTTTTCATCGTGTATTCTGTTTGCAGTTACTGTTTGGAGTCCTCTGTTCTATTTTCCACTCCACTGAAATGATTATTGGCAAGCTTGCTAAATTTCTTTTTAGCTGAACAATAATTAACAATGTTAATGCTTGTTCTCCTTGACCTCTCAGCCACTTTAAGACTGGTTACTTGTCCTTGCCTTGCTTATATTAGTGTGCCTTTACAGATGTGACTGTGTCCTGGTTCTTTTTATTTTTTTTATTTTTTTTTCTTGATCATTCCTTTAAGGTAGCATTAGAAGATGATTTCATATTTGCTGCTGCTGCAGCTTTTTGAGAGTTCTTGGTTCTCCATGTTTCTTCTGTGCACCTTAGTTACAGGTAACCTTGCAAACGTACATCTGCTGGCTCTGTGGGTGGCACAGTCAACCTTTTTACTTAAAATATGCTTCCCTTGACACCCTTTCCCTTGCAGTAGGAGCTTGGTTGATGGTTGGGCATTTATGATGAATCATCATCTCCCTCACACGTTAGCCCCTTTTGTCTCCATCAATGTGGACAGAGTAACCCTGGTGTTACTCTGGATGTTGAGTGGATGCTGACTGTGGGTATGCCATCTAAATGTGAGAGAATCTTACGAATGTCTGTAGCATGCAATCTCTGAAACAGCCCTTGCTCTATAGGAGTGTAGCTAAAATTCTCGTTCAGGTTGCTCTTGCTTTGGTCCTATGTCCTTTATACTTGATA